ATTGCTGCTTTCATTTCATTTATTTTTTCATATTTTGTTCTCTGTTCCTGTAAGCATCGTGGAGAGTTAGGAGACTTGTATGGGGTGGGACAAGAGATAATTGTATCTTGGCAAAGGCTCAGAGGCCGTGCCTAAACTGAACCTCAGTTTTCACATCCTCTCCATTGGTGATTACCTTATTCCAGCATCTGGGATTAAAAGGAAATGTTGTTCACAGTCATGTCATAACATGTTTATGATTCTTTTATTTCTTGAGATGGATACGAAATAATGTCTCATAAGGCAAACTTCAACATATGAATGACTACATAACAGTTATGATTTTCTCCCACTGACCAAAGGAAATAAAAACACTTACATAACTGCACAAGGCCTAAAGTAGTTTTGCAAAGGACCTGTCTGTACCTGTGCTTTGTCTTTAACTCACAGACCTTTCTCCAGGTTTATATCAAAAAAAAAAAAAAAAAAAAAAAAACCTGAAGAACTTAAAACTCCCAAATACAGGGTGCATGAAATGCCATTAAATCAAGCATAAAATCTCTTTAATCTGTCACACACAAAAAAGTCATGTACCCAGAGCAAAGAAGGAATATCAATATTAAGTAATAGGAGTCTGTGGAGCTGGTGCTCATTCTGAGAGAAGCATGTATCTAAAACTCCAGTAGTTCCCTGGCCTTTAGAAGTTCTGGAAGTCACATGATATTAGCAAAATCAGTTAGGCAAAAATCATCCTAGTGTTCAGGATGACTCCCACATGCTAATTACTTAGTACAATATCTCTAGAACACTAAAAGAATATTTAAACATTACCCCTCCCATAGAAAACAGAGATTCAAACCCCACTAAGCTCTAGGAGAGAAAAGACTAAGAAGATTAAAGACCTGCCTAAGAGGTCATTCCTGTCTGGCTGTCATACCTTTTACCCTCTTGGGCTAGAAAGATGAGTGTGGAACTTGAGTTCATCTGAATTCCTCAGCTCTGTCATCAGCACTGTGACACATTCTCATTTTCTGATTCATCTGTGATGAATAAGCACTCCTTTCCTATTCACAGTCCTCAAAGTAACCAATTTTGTGAGTTATGATGACTTATTTTTTTTCATTTCATTACTGAATTATTATTGTTCCCTTTTTGTCACCCAGCATTAATCCCATATGCAGAAAAGCCCGCTCGGCCAGTAACAAACACTCCCTGAGCTTTGAGCCAGCTCAGAGGAGTATAGGACTGACAAGCGGGCTTCTGTTCTTAACCCAGCCAGATACCTCAGCTGGCAAGCCGCTCAGCTTCCTCACCATAAAATGGGTATAATAATAGCTTTCCCTTACCACTGTGAAATATTTAGAATGCAAATCAAGCCAAACCTATCTCCTTCCAAAGCGAAGCATAACCCAGCCTGCATAGCCCGGAATGAGCCCAGATTTCAAGGGAAAACACCAAGCGGGAAACACCTAAAGGTAGTGTAATTTAGTGGTTAAAATATGTGGACTTTGGAATGGTACAGACTCACTCAGAGGCCAGTGACTGTGTGATTTGGGGTAAGTTTCTTAATTTCTGAAATCTCTTCTTTTTTCTAATAAGTGCAGGGCTTTTTTCACTGTAGAATGGGTTCAGTGATCCACTCTCCTCTGCTCCTCACACTTGACTCAGGCAGACCTTGGGCTGGAGTGGCCGAGCCTTCAGGATGACTACCAGGACTCTGCCCTGTGTGCCTCAGAGGAGGCACAGGTATTTCAGGGAGGTCTCAGGTATTTCCCCTGAAAATACACACAGATTTTTTTTTCTTTTCACTCCTCAGTACGTTCTTATTTGTTTTAGTATGCTAGAAGAAATGCAAGGCCAGGAAGAATGTCTGTTTTGTTCCTTCTAAAATATCCAAGAAAAAGTTAATGGAGAAATAGATACATGCACAAACAACAGTTTAAGTTATTTACCCACAAGGAAAACTACCCTCCAGGGAGACTGCTGTGTCTTAGTATTAGTGGCTCTGTGTACCCCTTGTTGCTTGCTCCCTGCACATCCCTGGGTTGACATAAATGCAAACTAGACACACCTTTCTTGACAGATGCTGAAAACCACAGCAGGTGCTCAGAGCATAGAACTCTTTCCCCAGCTGTCATTTTCCCACTCCATACTCCTCTACCCCATTACAGTAACTTTTCTGTGAACATCTTGAAAAGAAATTAGAATGGGTAGACAATGATCTAAGTACATTTTATATATATATATATATATATATATATATATATATATATATATATATCATCAAAATACTACAATGAAGCCCATTATTTTACACAATTTATACATGCTAATAATAATGCATGAGGAAAATATTATAAAGTTCCAGGCAGATGCAAGTCTAGGGGATCTGAAAGGAGCTTATGTGTCTGTAGTCACACATCCTTACCAACTTTGAACTCCACTTTTTTGCATTTTCTTTACTCTCGGCTTCAGCTTATGCATGGCTTAAACTTTCTGAAGACAATTCAAAGGGATTTTTTTTTTTTTTACTTTTTACTCAACTCTCCTTTCCAACCCCCATCTCCCCAAGCCATGGGTAAGCAACCCAGAGGAGTCATACAGATGGACTTCTTTGGGACCAGACATTCCTTGAAACTTGTTTTTGAGCTTTCTGGGAAAAGGGATTTTTCTAAGAACTTGCACCATCTCTTAATGTTGAAAACCACTACCCTAGAACATTATGTAAATTGAAATTAGGTGAACTAGCCGTTTCGGTTACAATTACATTACAGTTACATCCTTGGAGTTTGACACTTTTGGTATCACAAAACTAACACTAGATGGGACTGCTTATAACTTCTCCTGCCCCTCACTTTGTGTGTGTGTCCACTGTTGTGTTTTAATGTCCTGAATTATTTGGCCTTTCCAGTTTTATATCCTTGGCTACATATTTGTGTGTTGAACCTGGAATATTCAATGCAAATATTTTAAATCCTATGCAAAACTATCCTACTTAATTTCTTTGTATTTCATATAAAAAGCAACTTACGGACATGTAAGGTGACTATCACTTAGGTGGAAAGGGCATGTATCAGTACATAACAGTTTTGCAACTGAACAAAAGTAAATCTTTGTAGATTAATATATATTGTAAGATCGCATAGCAGATTGTAATTCAATCAAGAAGGAACCTTTTGACCATTATGGACATTTGGAAATATTACATGACTTATGAAATTAAATTTTTAGCCTTAGTATTAAATTTGTGATCACTTTTGTTGTTTGGCATTAAGAAAGCAGGACAAACATATCCCCCAAAATTTGCAGTTTAACTTTGTTTTGTCTTAAGCTGTAATGTACACTGTAATTTTCTCTCCATCTTACATTCTTGTCATTGGCAACCTATGCATCATTTGACATTACGGAAGACGGTTTATTAGTCTTCACATGTGTTAGTCAATCTGATAACTTTCTATCATCAGAATTTAATTTTGACTAATTTTGTGAGTGAGCATTCCTTGGAGTTCAAAGAGAAAAGCTGCCTGCTCAGATATAAGGACATAAACAGCTGATGTAGTTTTCAAAGGTCATAATCTATTTTCAGAATTATTTGTTTTATAAGATGCAATGCATAAGTGGTAATTGAGCATATTTTATAGAAAATTCACTAACCATATTTTCCCTTTTCTCCCAAATATTGAGAAAGAAATCATGTTCAAAAAATAGAGGAGGGGGAAAGAAAGATGAAAGAAGAGGGAAGAGGTATAATGGCAAAAACATATGCAGTGAAGTGGTTTATTTAGTAGTTTGGCTTATAGAGAAGACATGAACATACAAAACTGCAGTTTTTTAAGACTAGCTCCTTTTTATTTGTGTTTCCAATTTGTCAATACTTTTAATAATTCATATATAATCTGATTGTCTTCCCTACAATTTTCATTAACCCTATCAATTTTGTGAAAAAAAATTTAAAGCATAAGAGACCCCAGGTGTCCCTTGGTGTGCACTATGATACCTGCTGCAGACTTTCTTTTGAACTCTTCATGTCCCACAGGGACCACCACGATTCACAGCTGCACGTACCCAGGCAGGCTTCACAATGACCACATAGGAGAAAACATCTCTTTAGAGCAGCCTCTACAATGGTGCACTTGTCTAGAAAACCTCTAGAAAGTGAGGCCTCCTAAATGCAGTTTTCTACTGGGCCTTTTTCAGTTCAATGGGGTCTTTCACATTAATATCCATTGATAGCTCATCTTAATTAATACTTTTGGAGGCTTTATGTGAAGTGGTCAAGGTCATCCTGTCAGGGGCCTACTGTTTGAGCATATATATGATGTGATCTGGGGCCTGGTGGAAGGACTTCTATTATCTTAATTACTTCTTCTAGAGAAGAAGAGTATCTATCAAAACTCTAGTGACATTCCAGTAATAATTGGTTATTTGTAGCATAGTTTGAGTATTGTAAGGAAGAACTATTAGACTTTTAAACATAGAATGCGAAACTATCATGGTGAACTTCCCCCAGACCTAAAAGTGTCATCATTTGAGCCATGTTTGGGATGCGTTTTGGGATACGTTCCAGTCACACTGTCTCAGTAGTACCATCAACAATAGAGCTGTCCACGAAATGTTCTGTGTGCTGCTCAGTAAGGTTGTTGCAAACCACCTATGGCCATTGTGCGCTTTGAGTGAAGGTCTAAATCGTTAGCTTTCCACTAAAGTTAAAAAGCTTAACTTTAATGAAAATTTAACAAGTATGGCTACTAGCTACCATAGTGAGCAATGTCACTCTAGAGACTCTACATAGAGAACACATGAAGCAAACAGGAGAGATCTTGGCCCTTTCTTTCCTGGGACATACAGGCATCTGTCATAGCTAGGAGGCTATAACCCTTGAAATATCTGAAGCTGGAGATTAATGATTTTATGGCTACTGGTGACAAAATTTGGGAGCAGTAAGTCCCATCAATACCTCAAGATTTTGTGTTCCTCACTGCATCAGATGTTTAATTCTTTGTCTTTTCTTTTAATTTCAGTTCCTTGACCACCAGTCTGTTGCCTGTCCCTGCTCTTTATGTAAGTAAAAGTGGCTTCTTTATCTTAAAAAAAAAAAGTGTTGTGTTTGTGAAACTCTGGTCTCTGGTGTCATATTTCCTAGTTGACTTCACTGTGGTATCTAGCATCCATGTAGTATGTGCTTTAGCACTTTTCCTGTTTGGAGCCGACTCTGTTTGTGTCCTGGTGAGTTGCCCTCTGTGAGGGAGCCCAGCAGCCCCCAGCCGTTGTCCTCTGAAAGGACTGCCCTTTCCCTCTCTGCAGCTGCTATTTGCAAAAGCCGCTGCTCTTCTGAACTGAAGCTTACAGTCCACAGCCAGATCTCAGCAACAGTTGGGCTCTGCTCCACTGTCAATCAATGGGCAATTATTTATTCTTCAGTTATTCACTCATCCCTAGGTCCAACCATTTTTAATTTTAGCTTCTAGATCAGAGCTTTCATTTATTGACAAAATTTATAATATCCTTTTACCAAGAAGTACAAGACTGAAAAGTAAATAGGCTAAAAATTTGTGCAAAATTATAAAGTCTAGGAAGAAAAATAAAAGAAATCCAGGATTCACATATGCCAGCAGGTTTATAGAATGTACCATTCCATTTCAGAAAAGACGGGGAAATTATGAGCGGGGAAAAGAAACAAATGGGGGGAACTTGATTTTAAATAAAAAAGAAAAAAAATTGATTTTAAATGAAAAATTTAATATTTAAAGACCAGACCGGGCCGCACTGAGCCGATTTGGATAACTGTTACTTTGGACTGCTTACAAGAGGTTCTGGGGTAATGAAACCAAATAATCAAGTCACTACCAGAGACACCAGAAATCCTACAGTGAAAGTCAGCACACAGCCCAAGTAACCATGGGCATCCCCATTAGCTGCATCTCCCTCTGTCCCTTGTTCACATTGTGACCAAACTCTCCGGCTCTGCTCTGTGGTAGTTCCTGTGTTGTAGCAATTTGCGCGGAAAGAAGCCTCTGATTCCACTTGCGTGTGGCTGTCACTGGCATTCCTCGAAGCTACGTATTTATGAAAACAGAATATGCACCGGGAGATGCTAAGGCTAAAGTTGAGTGTGGTGTTTTATCTGACATAAAAAGGGGATCGATCAGACTCTTCAAAGACTGGTGCTGTGTAGGCAGGTCCTACCTGCCCCTAAGCCTTCTCATTCTTCCTTCACACTCAGTGTTGGTACAGTGGGTCTGCTAGTGCTTTGGAGGATGTCAGCATGCATGCTCATGGTTACCACTGTGTATCTTCCTATTCTTCCCCTTCGTTACCTAGCACTGCATATTTCGAGTCCTCCGACTGGCAAATCATTTTGTAACAGCTCTTTTGTGTAAAAACAGTTCACATAATAGCTCAGTGTTAGACAAGGCATTAATCCTCACATCACCAAGATGAGTCAGCATGATGTTCTCCTGCCCGCCTAGCTCAGCTATTATGACGTCAGTGCTTTAGAGCAAGCCTCAGACACACACCATATAGAAGACCTGTGTCACCTAGTAGAAATCAAGGGGAAGACCTATAATTGAAAGGCTTTGTCTGCCTCATAGGAAAATGTGAAACTAATTCTGCACTACATCAATAATCAGCAGAGCAGCTTTTAGAGATTTTTTTTTTTAATTTTTAAGCAGAGTAAGGCTAGGAAAAGAAAAACCTGTAATAAGCTAATAGTCCACTCATGTACTCATGACCTTGTCCCACCCCCGGCCAGGCTTCATGTTTTCTTGACTTGTTAGAAATCCTCAAGTTGCCTTTATTGCCAGCAGGATGACAGGGCCAGTAACAGTCCTGTGTCCTCAAGTGCCCCCATAGACACAGCTGATGGCTCCAGGGGTAGTGCCCTAGAGGCCCATCAAAAGCAAAGGAAAAGTTCCTTGGGAACAAACCAGAACATTATCCCCCCAGTGCCTCTCATTCCCAAGTGCCTCTTCAATGACCTCCTCTGGACAGGTGCAAAATTCAGCCCGTTTGACCTTCTGTTCTTGGCACTGCATCCAATGTCCGAATCTGGAATTGACCCAGATTTAAATAGGAGTTGAATGGCTGCCATGCTTTCCTGCAAGAGTTTTCTGTTCCATTATTCTTCAGCAGAAACAGAAAGGAAAATCCCACAACCTGCCATGCTGCCTCAAAGCAGATGACACAGACTAAGCCTATTTCGGAAGCCCAGTTCTTGTAAGCAAAGCTTCTCTGCAGTTCAGACTCAGACACGTTCCTCGGGACAGTACCTTACAATATTAAAAGTTAATTATTGGAAAGGTAATAGTGAATGCCAGTAAGGGATTCTCTTACTGGCATTCTCTGTTTAAAATATAAAATAAAATGCTACACCATAGCCGCTATCTCACTTCCGCTCTTAACTCTCACCCGAGCCGGTCACCAGGCCCTGTGAAAACCATCAGAAAATGCCTTAGTGCTGGAATTTTTCACCTTCATTAGATAGCTAGCAGTCTCCTACAATGCTACTAAGAGCTGCTGCTAGTGCTTGGCTTGGTTTTGATTAATTATGCACATCTCTTTATTTAGTTTTCGGTCATCAAACGTGTATAGAACAGTTGTAACAGTGCTTGGTTCTGGGAACTCCAAGATAAATGAAAAATGCCACCTTTCATTAAGAATGGCACCATCTGGGGTTGAGGGGACAGCTCATGCTAGAGCACTTGTGGTAGAGCTCAGTGGAGTGGAGCAGGAGTGCAGCCCAGGCTCAACCCACACAATGCAAAAAGAGAACAAAAAAAAAGTCCTCAGTCTGCTAGGGAAGACAATTGTGTGGGTAAAGGCTGTTTTGTGACAGGCCCTGGAATGCAGGTATCTACACATGCCTACCCAGATAGAAGGTTCAAGCTGACTCATAAAATGAAAATAGTGGCTAGGGGTTTACCAAGTGGACACAGGGGGAGAGAAAGAATGGGGTTCATTGTCAGAAAAAAAAAAGAGCACTTAAAAGTGAGGAGGCATCAAATAACAGCCAGATCTAGCTATTGAGTATCCTGGTGTGCTAGAGTATGGTGGACAAATGAACAAGCAGGAGTCAGGTCAGAGAGGCCTGATGGCCAAGCACAGGAGTTTAAACTTGATCTTACAGCCCTGAAGATATTTTAAGAAATTTAAGGAAATTGCATAAGACCTATACAGTGCAATGGGTAGAGTGGAGACAAGAAGTCATTTAGGAATGTTGTGTAATTCCAGCATATCTTTGCCCACTGCACAATCCTTGCCTTTAGGAGAAAGGCTGGTGTGATATGATGCCAAACTTAAAGCCAAACTATCCTTACGGGAGTTCACTGGCCTAAGACTCAGTTTGCTTCTAGCCTTGCTCTGAGCTGCTGCCTACTGGTCTTAGGATGTAGAGGGGTCTTGTGCCCACAGTGAGCAAGGGATAGGAGGGAAGAGAATGTAAAAAGACAAAAGCACTTTTTAATAATGGCTCTCTAAAGTCAATCAATCCCCGATTTCCTGTCATTTTTCTATTGCTGCCTTTTTCTAAGCAAAATTTCCAAGCCATTGAACTGAATTGCAACTTCTGCACAGCCGGGTGTTGAAACAATTCAGTATATTCATCCCTTCTCTCTGAATTAGAGTTCACCATAAGTGTGCTTTTCCCTTGTTCACTTTGGGCTGCCAGGACAATTTAAAGGAGAATTTCAGCAGCTTGTGTCTCGCATACCACTTTCTCTTTGCAAACCAGAGTATATGTGTGGGTGTGTTTAAGTTGTCTCTATATTGCTTTCTAGAAAGGTTTGAGAGGATGAACACGATGAGGAGTAGGGACCTATTAAAAACCGAAATCCCCCAGTGACCTGAGTGCAGAACGTAGGCTGGTGATCAGATGGTCAATTATGTGTTTGTCAAAACACAGTGGGCTGCATTCCAGACTGCCAGCTTTGGAGGCCCAGCTTCTGCCAACCAAATGTCATCTGGGAACATGCAACACTGGGCACTGTGAAGGAGTTTGAAATAGACCATGCCACAGCCAACCTACTGCCAGTCTTATAGCACCAATATGGCATGCACAGCCGGGCCCCATGTTTCAGAGCTCAGGAATTCACTGTACTCAATTCAAGGGGTCAGATGGGTTCATGTTTTCAAAGCCTATGTTCTCTGCTTTGAACACTGTGACTTGTTCCTCAGCAATTTCCAAGGGATTTTTCCAGTCACATCTCTGTGGAAACCACTCTTTCTGTGATGGTTATGAGAGCCTTGTAAAATGTCCCAGAGGAGAGGGGAGAAAAAACAAACCTGCTCTCACAATGACTGTGACTCCTATAAGGGATTCCAACTCTAAGAAAATTACATTAAAGGTGCATAGCTTTTAAAATATCAGGAACCACCTTGGCAACTTATAAAAAGCAGAAGGGCTTTGCCTATTTTATAAAGTGATTTGCATATACCTGCATAAATAATGTCCCCACCTGTACTTTTATGCATTTAGGTTGAATAAATTAAATTCAGTGATCTTTAAAATATTCTGTGTCTTTCATTGCTCTGATACCATTTTCAAGACCCTTCCTCTTCACTCCCCCCCGAGGGTACAATAACTATTTGTTTTTTAATCTTTGGCTAATTCTGAGAACTGAAGTACACTGCAAACCAGTCTACCACAACCAGGAACATTGTCCCCCTCTGCTTGAATTTCTCTTTTCCTTTCTATCATTTGGCCATGAATTACATGTTTTTACAAGAGAAAAGTGAAAGAGTATACTATGAATATGAAAACATAGCCTAAGAGAGGATTAGTACACAGCTCATAGATATTATCCTTACATTCATTTTATATTAGCCTTTTCTTCTTTTCTTTCTTTCCTCTTTTTTCTCTTGCTCCCATACTGTTTTTCTCTGTCTCTAAACAAGGTCTTATTGTATCGCATTGGGATTACTGACCTGTGCCACCATATTTGGATTAATCTTTGCTTCCTTTGGTCATTACCAGTGCTTCTTCAGAAACCACCTTTCTACTGACTCCTATCAGTTATTACTTGGGCATTTACATCAAAGCCTGGCCAAATAGGCCAGCCATA